AGTTGTAACTCGTCACACTGTAACTTTTTGGAAAAACTTACCTTAGTCTTTATTATGAAGTTTTGTTGCTCTGGATACTCTACCCACTGTGAGAAACTTCACCGAATGAAGAACAGGCTTGTTTTAAGCAAAGATTTACCACACACACAAAGACACATACGTGCAGTTTTTGTTAAATTTTCATAAGTAATTTCTTGGACGGCTACTTTTTCCTTTTACTTGAGTGAAAATGTGTTGAAGTTGTGCTACTCTTGGGTTTCTCCTCCTCTACCCACCTCTCACTGCATGCCATTGTCCCTATGAAGCAATTAAGATCCAGATTTTTCCTTTTTGGTATCAACCCACACTCAAAGTTTTACGTTTTTACTAAAATGTTGTAATAAAACAGACAAAATAGCGACACAAATCTACGTTGTCGGCACCAGTAATCCAGTAAGGCGTCACTTTGGCGTCTCCACGCTCCTCTCGCTTCTTTGTTCAACATAGAAATGAAAAGTGAAAGCAGCTCTGTGCTCTTCGCCTGAGTAATGATGTCTTCTCCCTCCGATTTCAGGTGACTCCAGCGCGTTTGTCACTTCGCCCACCTCCGTTTTCCCTCCGTCTGCTTCCTTCCCGGCTCCTGCCACCCAGAATGCATTTCACCACGAGTCAGTCACCAATCAAGAAACCAACGGTGAGATTTTGCTTTATTTGCTGTAGTATCACGTCTTATGGTCCGAGAGGACCAGGAAATAAAAGCTTTAATCAGGGAGATGTTGTTGTTTTGTCTCAAAAATGCAAACTTTGCAAAGAAAATGTCTTAAAATATGTTTTTTTTTGTCCTTGAATGGCTCAGAGTTGAGGAGGAAACAACGTATTTCCTCAATATAATCAATAATAAAGAGGAGAAAAACACAATCAGCTCATTAGTTGTTCAATAATATTGTATATTGACGCCGCTCAAAATTATTCGTACCCTTGACAGATTTAAAGTTGTTTTCATTCAAGCTTCTCATCAGGGGAATGAGCGGTATTGCCTAAACATGAATGAAAAAAACAATAATAAATAATAAAAATTGACTTGTTTGTCTCATGGAAGCCCCCAAAAAGAAAACTAAGTCTGTCCGGAATACGGTCCGTTTAGTATTTCGTCATTCACCAACCGGTACCCAGAGGTCAGCAGGTCAGGAAAACCCACAGACGCAGCCATTGCACTGGAAGAAGATTCAGCTCAAACCTTTAAAAAAGAAGTTAATTTATTAAATTGTAAAGGTAAACACACATAGATAAAGTGAGTTCGGTCAACTTAATTTAATTGCTGGTGACTAATTAACAGATTTTTTTTTAAAGTTGTTTTTTTTTCGGTGTATCTGGATACAGCTCCTGTTTGGGTCCAGTTTCACCCGTCATGTTTCTGTTTCCTGCTGCAGGTTTCGCCTCGTTCCCCGAGCCTGACTCTCAGCCCAAAGTCCCGCGGCCCATGTCTGTGAACCCGTTCACGGTGAGTTCGCTGCCCGGAGAGCCAGAGGGGAATGCGGCTTGCTCTATCGCGGAAGCGTTCTCACTGCTGTTTCTCACTCTTGCCTCTCTGGTTCTGCAGGGGAACGTTTACCCCAGTCGGGGGACGTCGAAAAATCCCTTCATCTGACTCCCCCCTCTCCTCATCCCACGCCTCTCCTCACTTCGCTGGGAACCGAGGGAGGAGTGAACTTGAGGAGCTGCTGCCATTTCAAAGCCTCTGGAGTGTTTCCACCCGGTCAGGGAGGGTCGGACCCGCCTCCATCCCGCCCTCCCTGCCTCCTTCTCTCCTCTGTGTCTGTGTTTACGTGTTTGTGGAGGAAAGAAAAACTAGAGAAAAGGGTGTGAATGTAACAATGAAACTGTATGTGTGCGTGAATGTGTGTGTGTGTGTCATAGGGTGTTTTCTGTGACAGTAGATGCCACCTCAGGGCTCTGTGGGAGTCACAAGTGAACAATGCCTCTTTAATTTTACCCACAAACTATTTCACACACACATGTTGCTGCTGCTGCTATTGTGCTTTCATCTCCTGCTTATAAGTGCAAAAAATAAAAAATAAAATAAATATATATATGCATATATAAATACCTATATACATATATATAACACACACCCCTGCAAAAACAACCCACCAGTAAGAATGTCCTCTGCTTTAAAATCTTTGAATCTCAGCTGGTGGGACAGAGACTTTGACTTGTCATCGCAAATGCCCTTCGAATAATTTTGAACAGCCTTAACAACCTCTTGATGCACGTGAATTAGTCTCAAGAAAAGACGAGCGTGCGTGTGTGTGTGCGTGTGTGTGGAACACGTTTGCATTTCTCACTTTTTTTAAAATTCCTGGTCAAATTATCGATCAGTGATTATCAGTGTTTTTCACTCAGGCTGCATGCGCTTATAGGGCTAAAAGGAGATGCTACTGAATGTAAAAGAAAATTTCAGAAAAAAAATAATAATAACAAGAGACATAAAATGTGTATAAAAAGTTCACAGCTTCATTTTACTGGACCAAAATGCTTTTTGTTTCTTTTAATTGAGGCAAAGGTTATTTTCTTTTATTTTGCCAAAAAGAACAGAAAAGTAAGAGTTTCATGTATTAACCTCTTTGTAACGACACGTATCCATGTTCATAAAATCAACTTCTTAATATAGTGAGGCTTTTTTTCTGTGTCTTTGACTATTTTTATACATCTTCACAGAATGACTTGAAATCTGAAAATTCATTCGTTCATCTCTGATGGTAGAAACGGACGTTTCACGCTTATTATAATAAAGTTTTGTTTTTACGTTCACACAGCTGACGGGGAACTCTGAAACACTGAGCTAAGAAAGTTTACAACAATTATGATGAAATTAAAAAGTAATTTTGTCCCCCTCCCCGTATCCCCCCGCTGGCAGTACCTTTGCTAAACAGCAGGGGGCGGTGGATTGTTATTTTATGTTTGCCCTCCTCCACAAGGTTAAGTTAGGATGCATATTGCATAACAGCATGCATACTGCATAAGCATGCAGCACGAAGATGGTTCCCGTTTCGGGTGTTTTAAAATATTCATTTAAATTTAAAAGATTTTAATGCGTTTTTCCTCGTTTTTTTTTTCCTTTCTTATATTCAATTTAAAAAACAACAACAAAGAACTGAAGATTCCACTGAGTGTTGAGACGATTTTAAACAGAGAAAACAGTCAAATGTCTTGATTTTTTTTCCAGTTTAATACAGCAACATCATCCAAATGAAGAATAGAAGGAAGAGCTCCAAAAGATTTCCAAAGTTGACCCCTGATTTCGCTACTTGTCTGGAGAATTTCTGCTGATTTAATCACCGGTCTTTGGACAAAGCTGCTGAGTGTGCAGAGTTCATGTGTCAATATGTCCACATTTCAACAGGAGACAGATGGGGACTGTTTTTTTTGTTTTTAACAATAAATAGACCAGGATGAACCTCCTGGAAGCTCCAAGGCTGAAATCTTAGGTCACAATGGAGAAGGGATGGTGCCTTCACGTGCTGTGGGAATCTTTAGGGATTCGCATAAAAAGAATAGAGATGGAAAACAAACAAAATAGGAAGATGTTGGTTACAACACTGCTGTAAATAATTATATATGAGCTAATTTATAAATATGTAATAAGAGTTTTATATGATCAACACTTAATTTAGAGCCTGGTGTTACTTTTTTCAGTTTATTGTCCCAGTTTAGAGAGACACTACGATTATTTTGGCAAAATCCCTTCAAAAATAACTTTCAAACTGTTGTATCGTGGCAGCATCATATAAATGTAAGTAAAAAACGCGTAATATTAGGTCGTCTGCTTTGCTCTGTGTAATAAGAAAAAAAAAAAGCAGAAAAGTTTTGTTATCAGCACCAGATTGTTTCAGTTTCAATAAACCTGTCGCCTGTTTTCACATAACAGCTGCAGGTGCTGCACATCCACACCTGTTCTGCACAACTTTTGCAACACAGTTAATTTCATGGAAAACATAATAATAATATGTGTGTTTATTTTTTGACCATATGTGCAATAGACTAGTAGTTATAGATCATCCATCAATACCCGCTTAAGCTTCCCAGGTGAGACGGATTAGCGCGTATTTATCGGAAGTTTAGTTGTCGTACCTGCGGCGAGGCTCCTGAACGCACCGTGGTCTGGAGTACTACGGAGGAGAGTTCAGTGAAGGGAATTCCGGCTCTTTTTAAAGATCCTCGCGATTTGGCTCAACTCGAAACTTCCGCTCTTTGCTTCTCATCTCCTCTAACTTTCACATATGTCAATGTTCTTAGTATGTGTCCATACCTGCTGCAAATGTAAAACACTAATAACTCTCCAAGCATAAATAATGTTATATATATTCTAAAATAGCAGTCATTTTAAATCGATAGCTCATGATACAAACTTCTCTGGGATTTCAGCTGATGCTGATGCTAATCAGCTGCTCCCGTTTGTAAAAACAACACACTGTTGTCACGGTTACACATCATAACAACCGTCTGAAAGCAAACAAACAAACAAACAAACAAAAAACAACATAAGACCATAAAACCTTCTAGATGCACAGCATTAAAGCCAGAGGGAATAATAGTCCAAGCATGCGATGCCTAACAAAAAAACAAAATGCTCCTCTATGATCTACGCTACGTTCTGGAAAGTGCTTCAAAAATATTGTCTATTATCGATGGGATAATCTTTCGCTTCGTGACATTAGGAACGAAGTAGAACGTTCGCGGAGATGAGCCGGCACGCCGAGTCGGCTCGGTCCAGGACCCCTCTCAGAGTGAGCGACTGTGCCGCTCCACGGTAGCAGCTCCGCTTCGCACCTCCAGCCGCCAGAGAGCCGAGCCGAGCCGAGCAGGGCCGGAGGGGAGGGACAGACGCCTGGGCTTCGTGCGCCGCGATGTGCAGTAAATGGGATTAACCCGCTCAGACAGCTCTGGGAAACGCCAACAGTAGTAAGTAGCGGTAGTAGTGGAGGAGAGACGGGAGGAGGCGAGACGAGGAGGAGGACGAGGAGGAAGAGAAGGAGGAGGGGGAGCGCCGCGTAAAAAGCTGCGCCGCACGTGGAAAACTTGCGCTGCTCCGTCCCTTGGAGAGAAAACAAGCTCCCCCTTCCAAAAAAAAAAAAAAAAACAGACGCCAACAAACAGACCCGGGTCCAGACTCGCAGCGGCCCGTCCGGATCGACCTCCAGCTCTGCTCCGCGCACATGCCTGCCGTGTTGATGTGGAGGAAAGGGGTCAGCGGAACCGGGGAGCATGTTTGAGTCATCTCGCTGAAAGTTGCAGGGGGGGAAACCAATTCCAGCTGACCCATCTGTTTTGTTTCTGTTTAGTTTTTCTTTTTTGTTGTTGTTGCTGTTTCGCTCGCTGGGAGCCAAACTCAATGGAGGGCCAAGCGGGCGAGCCGCACGGCAACGAGGACGTGCGCAAGAGCGGCTACCTCCGCAAGCAGAAGTCCATGCACCGGCGCTACTTCGTGCTGCGCGCCGCCTCGGAGCGCGGTCCGGCCCGCCTGGAGTACTACGAGAGCGAGAAGAAGTTCCGCGGCAAGGCCCCCGTCCCGAAGAAGGCGGTGGCGCTGGAGACGTGCTTCAACATCAACAAGCGGGCCGACTCCAAGAACAAGCACATGATCGCGCTGTACACCCGGGCGGAGAGCTTCGTCGTGGCCGCGGAGAGCGAGGAGGACCAGGACGAGTGGTTCCAGGCCATGGTGGAGCTGCAGTGCAAAAGTAAGCCGCGGAACGCGCTCGCCGAGACCCCCACGCTCGCGCGCTGGGATGGTGGATGGGGAGAAACGTGGCAGTGGCTGCAGAGGCGCTCTGCGGGGGCAGCCCGGGACGCGTTTCATTGGTGTTTTGGGGCGAAGTAACGGAGAGGGGATCATTCAAAAGCCATCAGAGCTCGACGAGACAAGTTAGTCTGCGTTGGCGTGGCGTGGGTTTCCCATCCTCTCTGACCTTTTAAACATCGTTGTGCTCGATTTTTAAGAAAGAGGTTTAAAGAGGTGGCTGGATTTGTCTGAACACATGTTAGTATGGAGACCCAAAAGAGCCACAGTCCACATAAAAAAAAACACACACACAAAAAAAAACAACTGAAGGAATGAATGAGTCATTCATTTCTAAAGCTGCTTGCACAGACAGGCGCTTAAAATCTAAATATTAGCTGCATTTATGTGAATAAAGCTCACGGTTTGTACTTTAGCTGCTATCGCCATGCATGCAGATGACTTGGGAGCTTTACTGCTCAAGACAGTCCTCACCTTCATGTCTGTGCAAAAATCAAACATCTACCATAGAAATGTTTGTGGGTTTAACTCATCTGTGTCTCGTTGAACTAGTATTTAGCTCCCTATAGCTGCTGTTTTTGATTTCCGACAGATTAATGCTACTTAACATTAATCATGTCAGGATGCCACCTGAAGGCTTCTTCAACACCTGCCGTTTTCTCGTTCTCTTTCTCCCAACGGGACTCTGCAGGGATTTGTGGACAACGGCTTGGCTACACACTGGCAGGGTCTGATGATTACTGTCTTTTACAGGTTGTTTGTCCCGTCTGATCACTTTCGCTCTTCTTTGTTCCACTGGAGTGAAAGTTTTCTGTTTTCTTCCATGTCTTCCTGCTTTTAGTTTCCACTTTGAAGGATTTAAGGTCATTTTAGCTCTTAAAATGACGTTTCATTACATGTTTTCTGCTTTTCAATAGTCTTCTTAATGCAGGTACACTGTACCTGGGATTGAGGCCAGATTGTTGACACCTGTTTTTATAGGATGAATTACCTCACTAATTGCACTGTATGCTGTTATTATTACGAAAAGCTCCCTTTTGTCGTTGATTGTTTCTGGTTGGCGATGCTGGGCTGCGACTGCGGCCATAAAACGCTGTTCAAGATGAGATACCATAAGTCATAAAAAAACAAATTACAGAACATAAAAATATTAAATATGTGAAGAAAATCAATAAAACCATAAAAGGATTTAAAAAAAGTACAGGGATAAGCATAAGAAGTTAAATATTATCAAGTGGTAATTTTAGTCCAAACTCTAAACACTTGACCTAATAAATGGATCTTTAACCGGTATTCCTAGGAATACATATAAATAAAATTACCCTCCAGTTATGAGCGCCGGCTTTGGCGAATGGACAGAAGCAACCAGTTGCTCGGTGAATGTGTGAGCAGATTTCTAATCATTGTTTTGTTTTTCTGGCGTTGAGATAAGTTATCAGCCTTTTATCAGAGTGAGGCAGTAGATCAAGGCAGATCACTTCACCACATTGGTCCGGTTTAAAAGACTAGGACAGCTGTACGTGGCAGGCACATAATTGTTCTGCAAATAAATGTCTGAAAGAGAACGTAAATGAAATAAAAATAACAGTGGACCAAACGTTGAGCCTTGGGGATCCCCACAGGGTAAAGAAGTTGTCGCAGTGGCCAGCTTTGACTCCCGTCTTTTAAATATATTACTTCAGTGCGTGAATAATGAATTCAACAAGCAGAAACAATTGATGTTTTAAAAGTCATTGTTATTGATAAGTTGTTTTAGCTTTTCCGCTTCCCAGTGGCCAGAGCTAAATTTTGGCGCCCTGTAACCGGACAGCAGGGCAGGAGTCTCGCCTCCACGGCTCTTATCGTGCTGGTGTCACACTACATATTTACTCTCAGACTTCTAGTGTGTGTTTTCTCCCCTCCTCTGTTGGGCCTCAGCTGTGTGCGAGCTCTTGTTTTTTTTTTGCCTCTGTGTCCCAACAGCTCAAACACACCCTGTCCTCATGTTTTCTGCTCCTCTTTTCCTGCTGATGCTGCAGAATCACACGGTGGGTGAGAGGAGGTGGCGAGTGGGGAGGGATTGGGTCCAAATTGGGGATCGAAGATTTCAAAAGTAGGCAAAGAAACGACGATCGGGTTTTGACCAACCGTTAAAACGTGGCAACAAAAAAAAAAAAAGACCCCACAAACACGTCATCCGTGTGGATATTTCTCAAACGGCGTCTGTCAGCCGCAGTGCAAACACAGCTGTCACGGTAGCCCCAGATCACCTGTTCCCGTGTGGCGCGGACGGGCCACCAGGGACGCATGACGCAACCTCAGCAAATCGAAGAAGTGAGTTCAAGGTGCCTCTCATAACCTGCTGGCTCTCCCGTTGCATAAGGAGAGATAAGGAGGCTGATAAAAAATTAAAAAAAAAAAACGCTCCAGTTTTTTCGTTCTTTCTTTCGAGCTGTGCAGAAAGTCAAGCGAGTTCTTCTGACCTTCGGGAGGATCCTGTGACATCATCGTCCACTCCCCCTCGGTGGTTGGTGTTTTAGTGTAAAGGCCACACTGTCCTGCAAAGAAGCCCCAATCAGGGAAAACAGGCCAGGCATCCAACAGAGGTTGAAACTTTTGCCTGTTCTGCTTTGCAACATACTAAATACATAAAACCTAAATATCACTAATTTTATCAGATTCTAAGTTATATTTAGGTCTGGACTTTTCCTGGACCGTTTGAACATATGAATGCTGTACGGTGAACCTCTTTTGCTTTTTATCTGACTCTGCTAAAGAAACACAATCCTACAGCATGACACTGCCACCACCATGCTCACTATGGGAATGGTGATTTATTTCATTTTTTTTAAATTCGCGCCAGAAATGCAACACCGTCCTCCACATGTCCCTGAAATCCTGGTGGAAAAGTGCAAGCTTGACTTCTTCTTGTGCTTTTTCTTTATCAATGGACTTTTTCGGACAGAGGCCAAATCATCTGTCCTGCTGACAGATTCTCTCAGCCGAGCTGCAGTTCTCTTCAGGGTTACCATGTGGCTCAAGGCTGCTTCTCTGATTAATGCTCTGCTGGCCGGGCCTGTTGCTTTAGGTGGGCGGCCATGTCTTGGTACTTGTGCAGCTGTGCTCTCTAACGAACCTCTGAGGCCTTCGCAGAACAGCTGGATTTATACTGAGATTAAATTACACTCAGATGGACTCTGCTCACCATTGCCTTCTGAAGGCTGGGTTATATTAAGGTATCATGGTAAACAAACAAGTCCACGTCGCACTTTTCTGATTTTTATTTGTGAAAACTGTTGTCTTGAGAAATTTTCAGCGACTTTAGTCAGCTTGCCTCATAAAACCTAAGATAGATTGTGTCTGATGAAAGAGTGTCTGCGCATCCTTAAAAGGTCTTAAATTTGTGGATCCAAATTAAATGCATTAATCGCAAAAGGTGCGATTTAGTTTTGCACATGTAGTTCTTCTTTTCTCATGGAGCTGTTCTGTCAGGCAGAAGCTCGAGTTGTGCACAGGCGTCTTTCTTGCAGCAGCGGTTGAGGCTAATGCTGACTAGCTGCTAATGCACCCCTGCTAGCTAGCTAACTTTTCAGTGTCTGCGTCGCTTCTGTTGCCAAGCCATGTGAGGTTAGGAGCATCTTGTGCCAAAAAAACTCAAACAAAACTTAAGCTTAACACTATTATTGCGGTAGGATCCCTCAAACACCCCACAGATATTTATAGTCTCAAATTTAATTCAAGGTGGCATTAAAAATGTATTAAAAAGTCTTAAATTCGACTTGCTGATTCCTGCAGATACCCTGCACTGCAACAGGACAAAAGTGAGAGAACAGCTCTAGAAATGGATGCGCTTCTCTCTTTGAAGAAGAGCAATGTCCCGTCCTCCTTCAGACATGGTTCCGGCTGCCATGTTGTCCCTTTGGAGCGGCGGCGCTGCCGCCACACTAACGGCTTCTCGTCCTCTTTGTCGCTACAAGTGTCGTCTTTCTTGTATAACTCAAACATCTGGCTGTCAAAGACAAAGAGGCTGCGGCTGGCTGATGCGTAAACTCGCACGTGGGTGTGCAGTGTTTTGTCTTTTTTTTCTCCCTTGTGGTATGCATTGCTGCTGCATGGCTGCCGCTTGCAGGAGAACAAGGCCGACTCTTGTCTGTCACCCTGAATCGCCTCGCTGCAGAGACGTGGAGGCGGCGGCAGGCTCGAGCGTGTAAGAGACGCACACAGAGTCAGGATTTCGGTGTGCGGTGCTGTTGCTCTCAGAGACGATGGCACACAGTTTCCGCCGCTCCCTCACACCCGATACCTGTGGAGCCGCTCAGATCAACTTCTGTTAGGTCTCGGAATATCTCCTCGCTTTGGTCCGGAGAAGTTCACTGAAAGCAGCCCGGCCTCCCCCGGAGCCGGCCGTAGTTAAACACGAGCCGGACAAAATCCCCGTTATTTATTCAGCTGAATCCTCTAAGACCCTTGCAGGCGGCGAGTACAGTATCGGGCTTTAGGGCGGCTGTTTGCTCAGCTATTAGGAGGCGGCGGAGTGTGTGTAAAGGTTTAACCTCTGTGAAGCGGGTCACCTCATGGCGAGCTGCAGTCTGACCTCCACTGGAAAGTGATAAAGTCCAAATGAGAGTGAAACACTATCATCAAACACACCCACTTGCTCACCAACGTGCCAAAACAAACAGCCTGACAGCAGATAAGGAAGGTTTGATTCACTCCTTGAAAACTCACCAGAAGCTGTTTGATTATTAGTTATTTATTTGGGTTATTAGACAAGAAAACAAAGCGTCTCGCTGCACGTGGCTTTTATCAGTTCGGATGGTTTTCCTGTCAGATTTAAGTTTCTGGATGTTTGAAGCATATTCTTCCACGTCGGAGAAAACTTAAAATTTTATGTTTTTGGAAATGGATTGGGTCAGTTTTCTTAAGAAAGTGCCTTGAGATGACATTTGTTGGGAGTTTGCA